AACTTGGAACCGATTAAGACAGTCACAAGAGTCAGGCAGATGGAGATGAGACGCCACCCGTATTACTCATAAAGGCTGGGTGGGGAGATAGGCTGTAGGTGTACAGCGGGAGTGAGCTTTCTAATACTAAATCCCAGAATCAGGCAGACTCACCCGCCCAGTCACAGGCCGCTCTGGAGGCCTGCAGGCCCCCGCAGAGGCAAAGGTAAGTGGTGCTGGAGCAGAGCCTGATAGGGGCTCTCTGCTGGCTGGCCAGGCCCATGACAGGGAGGAATTGAGCCACAACACTTCCCACTACGAAACTCATCGCTCTATTAAGTCACCCATCTTCTCCAGGGAGGGATGAGTCAAAGGATACGGAAAGTCCCGAAGATTACTGTAATAGAAGGCCCTGCTACATGAAAGCAACATCATGAGTGGTAAGCAAGCCCTCCCCCAACATGAGTCAAGACAAACCAAGCTGCATGTAACAGCGGAGGTTGTCTGAAAGGCTCAGGAAATAACGCTCTTCACTGGACATGGTGGCCCATACCTGGAATCTCAGCACTTTGGGAGGCCGAGGTGGGAGGATGGCTTTGCACCCAGGAGTTCAAGACCAGCCCGGGCAATGTGGCAAGATTCCATCTCTGTAATATACAAATAATAAAGAAGAAAATGGCCAGGCATGGTGGCTCATGCCCGTAATCCCAACACTTTGGGAGGCTAAGGTGGGCAGATCACTTCAGGTCAGGAGTTCAAGACCAGCCTAGCTAAACACAGTGAAACTCTGTCTCTAATAAAAATACAAAAATTAGCCTGGTGTCATGGTGCACGCCTATAATCCCAGCTACTCGGGAGGCTGAGGTGCCAGAATCACTTGAACCCGGGAGGTAGAGGTTGCAGTAAGCAGAGATCGTACCACTGCTCTCCAGCCTGGGTGACAGAGCAAGACTCTCGCTCAAAAAAAAAAAAGAAAGAAAAAAATAAAATGATGCTCTTCTTTTTCCCTAATCTTCTTCCTCTTCCCACAAACCATGCTCCTGACTTTCTGGTACTCACTCTCCTTACAGCTGCCCCTCTGTAGTTTGGGTCATGGCACTCTTGCATGAGGGAAAGGAGTAACAACTAAACCGGAAGTTTTTACTTCAGTGATGGTTGAAGCAGCACATTCCACAAGGTAGAGAATGAAGAAGTGATACAGGAGTGGGGGCAGGGAAGTGCTGGGAGGAGAAGGGTGGGGTCCCTGGCGAGGGATCCACCCTCGGGTCTGTGATCACGCACCTAGGTGAGGACAGGCACTCCTGTTTTTGCACCCAAAATGTTGCATTTTCCAAGATGACCCTGGCCCGCCATGCCCCCATTCTGTGCCTATAAAAACCCCAAGACCCTAGTGGGCAGAGACATAAGCAGCTGGACGTCAAGAGGAGCACACCAACAGAACACACTGGCAGGCACCAGCAGACCCTGGCAGGTCATCCACCGGCAGAACAACACAGAAGCCAAGGGGAATTTGGCCGGGGTGGCTGGAGTTGAGTCTGGCTACTGAGCAGCAGATTCCAGGGAAAACCACCTTCCCACTCTGTCTCCCTTCTGGCTCCCCATCCATCTGCTGAGAGCTACTTCCACCATTCAGTAAAACCTTGCACTCATTCTCCATGTATTTTTGTATGTAGGATAAAATTCAAAACACTTAACTGTGCCCACATGTGATCCAATTTTTCTGATATACTGAGGCAAGAACCCCAAGACGAAAAGCCCTCTGTCCTTGCAATAAAGCAGAGGGTCTAATTGAGCTGGTTAACACAAGCCGCCCACAGATAGCAAAACTAAAAGAGCACACTGGAAACACACGCCCCACTGGGGCTTCAGGAGCTGTAAACATTCCCCCTAGAGGCTGCCCTGGGGTCACAGCCCCACAACCTGCTCATCTGCCTGCTCCCCCTAGAGGTTTGAGCAGCAGGGCACTGAAGAAGCGAGTCACACCCCCATAGCATGCTCTGTGAGGGGGACGAGGAAACTTTTCCCATTTCAGACGGAGGAGCAGGTCAGATTGGTGTACTGGCTAAGGAGGACTGCCTCCTAACCTCTTCCTTTTCTTCCCAAAAGAATGCAGAACACAAGCAAAAATAATCTAAAATCATTTCATATTGCTGTTCAGAGCCAGAGGGGAATTCTGGTATAATATCAAATATATTTGGTGCTCCTGAAACTCTTGGAATAATTTCCTGAGTTACAGGAGTCTATTTTGTTATTCATAATAAGCCCCTTTGGACCACACCTGAGTTTATGCTAATGAGGTGACTTAGGGTAGGGCCCCTGGAGAGCCTCAGGATGGGGTCTGTCACCAGAATGACCAAGTGATCAAAGGGCTGGAACTTGCAGCTCTCTCCGCAGATCTCTGGGAAAGAGAGGAGAAGAAGCTGGAGGTAAAGTTCTATAAAACCTGTTATACAATAAGATTTGAAAGCTTTAGGTTTGTGGAGCTTGTGGACATGGTTGGAGAGTGAAGCCCGAGGGCATGGAAGCTCCATGCTCCTTCTCACATACCTATGTGACTCTTCCATCCAGGCTGGAGTGCAGTGGTGCGATCTTGGCTTGCTACTGCAACCTCCGCCTCCCGTGTTCAAGCAATTCTCCTGCCTCAGCCTCCCAAGTGACTGGGATTACAGGCACCCACCACCACGCTTGGTTAATTTTTGTTTATATTTTTAGTAAAGACGGGGTTTCATCATGTTGGCCAGGCAGGTCTTGAACTCCTGACCTCAGGTGATCCGCCCGCCTTGGCCTCCCAAAGTGCTGGGATTACAGGCATGAACCACCTCGCTCAGGCTGTAATATCCTTTATAATAAAGTGATAAACGAGTTTTCTCAGTTTAGTAAGCCACCCTAGCAAATTAATCAAACCCAAAGAGGGATAAGGAGAACCCAGATTTACAGTCAGCAGTTCAGAAGTACAGGTGATGGGCCGGGCGCGGTGGCTCAAGCCTGTAATCCCAGCACTTTGGGAGGCCGAGACAGGCGGATCACGAGGTCAGGAGATCGAGACCATCCTGGCTAACACGGTGAAACCCCGTCTCTACTAAAAAATACAAAAAACTAGCCGGGCGAGGTGGCGGCGCCTGTAGTCCCAGCTACTCGGGAGGCTGAGGCAGGAGAATGGCGGGAACCCGGGAGGCGGAGCTTGCAGTGAGCCGAGATCCGGCCACTGCACTCCAGCCTGGGCGATAGAGCGAGACTCCGTCTCAAAAAAAAAAAAAAAAGTACAGGTGATGGTCCCGCCTGGTGGTTAATGCGTGTAATCCCAGCCCTTTGGGAGGCCAAGGTGGGAGGATCACTTGAACCCAGGAGTTCAAGACCAGCCTGGGCGACATGGCAAAACTCCATCTCTACAAAAACTACAAAAATTAGCTGGGCATGGTGGCATATGGCTGTAGTCCCAGCTACTTGAGAGGCTGATGTGGGAGGATCACTTGAGCCCAGGAGTTCAAGACTACAGCGAGCCATGATTGCACCACTGTACTCCAGTCTGGGCTACAGAATGAAACCCTGTCTCAAAAAAAAAAAAAGAAAAGAAAAACAGAAGTATAGGTGACCATTGGAGATTGGCATGTGAGGATGTGAGGTGAGAAGCAGTCTTGTGGGACTGAGCCCTTCATCTGTGGCTAATTGAACTGAAGTAGAGGACGCCCAGCAGGGCTGTGCTGGAGTGTTGCTTGGTGTGTGTGGATCTTCTCACCCCAGCCCCACTCACACATCTCATCATGGAAGTGTGCAGTGTTGAATGAGAGTAGACAGAGGAATAAAAGTTTGTTTTTTCCTCCCAAGGAATCAAATGAGTCAACCCTAGAGCACACTTCAGGATTTCCAAAGCTCAGTCTTCCCCTGTAATCTTCACTTGTGCGTTCATTCTATAAACATTTTCACAGAGCACCTACAAAGAAGGAGGCCCTATACTAGGCGCTGGGGACACATTGCAGCCCTCGTGAAATTTTTTTCAATCCATGAGTCAAACAAGAATCTGCTGAGCATCTATTACGCACCCCACCGTGCCAGGTACTCAGTGAACCCCTCTGAGACTTGCCCCCTCCAGTCTGCAACAGTAAAGCACCTGAAAGCCTGGTTTCCTTTACTTTGAGGAGAGATTTCTTCTTCACAGATTGCCCGGGGGTGGCAGACAGTTTAGGAAAACAATATACATGGCTGATCCTAGAAATTAAATGACGTGTCTCCCATGGAAGATTGCACAAATTCTGAAGAAGGGTTGGTGAGCATTACCCTTAAATAGGTAAAACCATTCTAAAAAATAACACCTTAGTGGCTTTAAAAACGTTAAAGGGGTGAAACTCTGCATCCCACTCTTTATGGGGGCGCAACTGCTGACCCCACCATGGCTCTTAGAGAGATAGATCTGTACATTTTTAGATACCATAGAAAGAATTCTTTCTGCCTGAGCTTCTTCAGAGCATTGTACATTTTTATAAAATTGTAAAACAACACAGCAGGCAAAAGAATAAAAGCTTTTTCCCCCCCTTTAGTCTCAATATAACTGTGTACGAAGGGCGGAGAGCCAAAAAGTTCACGTTCAGAAACTCAGGTGCTATTTGTAGCTCCCTAATAACCAAAACTTTTTTGGCCATCTACTCATCCATTCATTTTGTTATCTCCAAACTTCAAAACCCTGAAGGTAGGCACGTAGTAGGTGCTTAGTGAGGACTTATTGAATGAACAGATAAATGAATGAATAGATGGCTAAACGAATGAACGAAATATCCAGAGATCAGTCCATAGTAGATCCACCTTCCCACAAGCACAGAGTAACTTCGGGAGTGGGCATCAGAAACTCTTATTTACACCCCACTGGAGACTGGAAGCAGAGAAGTTCTTGTGTGCTGATCCTTAAGGGGAAGAAATTGAAGAGAGAAATACAATGGACTCATTCAAAAAGACTGCTGAATCCAAGAACTAGAGAACTGGAGAAATGTGCAATTCAATCTATCACCCACCCTCAGGTCAGTAATTACCTGTTAAGCTTGGTGAGGTGTTGCATAAGGCAGGAGGTCAGCCTGGGCAACATAGCGAGATCCTATCTCTAAAAAATAAATAAATAAATATATATATATATATATATTATTTTTTTTTACAAATTTTCATTACAAATATTCATTGAGCTTTTACTATGTGCCAGGAGCTATGTGTACCAAGGTTAATAAGACCACACACTCCTATTCCTCCAGCTTACATCCCACCATCTTTTCTCTGACCAACTGCTCATTCCTGCTTTCATTTTCCTGTCTATGAATTTAGAGTCCTTAGTTCAACATTACGCTAACCACTCCCTTGCAAATGTCTTCAACTCCCTTGCCCTCTCCCCCTGCTGCACGCACGTAACAAACCTTTGCTTATGAATGAAATCTGAGACCCAACTCCTCTATGCCAACTCAGCATTGCTGGAGAAAGTCACACAACTGCGCCAACTGATGTCATTTATAATACATGACCCAAACTCATCCCTCTCCCAGTTATCTCATTTCAGTAAATGGCACCATGGCCCACCCAAATATTTAAACCAGAAATCACTCTTGAAATTCCCTTTTACCTCATGCCCAATGTTCAAACCATCACCAAGGTATTGATACCATGTCCAACATAAATCTGAGGCCCACCTGTTCTCTCCATCTTCATCTGCCACCACCTTGTCCAGGTCTCTAATACCTCTCACCTGCACCACTGAAATGGACTCTGAATTGGTCTGCTGGTTTGTTCACTGAAAGAATGAAAGAGAAGTATTAACTTCTAAACTGGATTATGTTTGCAGCAGACACTATCTGCCATATATCTTTACCTTTACCACTTCAGTATTCACTAACCTGACTTCCAACACCAGAACCCATATTTCTTTGCCAGAAGATTTTCTCTGGTAAAGAAGCTGTTTTGTCTACCCCTTGCAGCAGGCTAGAAATACCTGCTTGTGCCTCACAAGACATTTTCTTGTCTCCCAGACCTCAAGCAATGGCTTACAGGATTGGGTGGATAAATACTCCAGTTCTGGACCAGTTGCAGTGGCTCACACCTATAATCCCAACACTTTGGGAGGGCTGAGGTGGGAGGACCACTTCAGGTCAGAGTTTGAAATTTGCTTGGGAAACATAGCAAGACTCTGTCTCTGAAAAAAAAAAAAAAAAAAAATTAGCAAGGCGTGGTGCCCATCTGGGGTCCTAGCTATTGGGGAGGCTGAGACAGAAGGATCACTTGAGCCCAGGAGTTTCAGGCTGAGGTTAGCTATGATTATGCCACTGCACTGTAGTCTGGGCAACAGAGCCAGACCCTGTCTCTAAAATAAACGAAATAATTAATAAATAAATAAATATTAGATGAGTGCAGTGGCTCATGCCTGTAATCCCAGCACTGTGGGAGGCCGAGGTGGGCAGATCACTTGAGGTCAGGAGTTCAAGACCAGCCTGGCCAACATAGCAAAACCCCATTTCTACTAAAAATACAAAATTTAGCTGGGCATAGTGGGACGTGCCTGTAACCGCAGCTGCTCAGGAGGTTGAGGCACAAGAATCACTTGAACCCAGCAGGCAGAGGTTGCAGTGAGCCAAGATTGTGCCACTGCTCTCCAGCCTGGGCAGCAGAGTGAAACTGCATCTCAAAAAAACAAATAGTAAATAAATAATAAATAAATTAATATCTGAGTTCTCTCAAACTCAAGTGGGATAACTTGAGGGGTACATTCAACAGTGGTTCCCACAGCTCTTCAGAGGGATTAAGCTTCAGTTGTCCACAGTGACAACTTGATTTATAACTCATCCTTTGTTGGATTTCTTCCCCCTCTTGCCTCAATTTCCCACTCTTCTATTGATGCTTCCTTACACCACCTCCCAAACAGACTACTTTGATGTGGTCTTCTTCTAGGGGAAACCAGACGAAACCACTGTCTCTTTATACAGTCCTAACCACGGCATATTTATCCTTCAGGATAAAATTCAAAACACTTAACTTTTCTCCAGAACGTCCCATATGCTACTCCTACATTCCTGCTTTAACTCCCTTTCCCACAACACTGGTTATGGGTTCCATATTGCCTCCTTTATTTTCTTCCCCCCCAAAGCAGGTTCTTGCTCCGGCACCCAGGCTGGAGTGCAATGGCATGATCACAGCTCACTGCAGCCTCAACCTCTTAAGCTCAATGAATCCTCCCACTTCAACCTCTTGAGTAGCTGGGACTACCAGATGAGCACCACCATGCCTGTCTAGTTTTTGTATGTAGAGACGGGGTTTCACCATGTTGCCCAGGCTGGTCTTGAACTCCTGAGCTCAAGCAGTCCTCCCGCCTTAGCCTCCCAAAGTGCTAGGATTACAGGCATAAGCCACCACATCCAGCCTGCCTACTTTGAATTCTTTGAATATTCTCAGCCCTCTGCCACCTCAAGGCCTTTGCACACCCCATTCCCTGGGCCTGGATCACCCTTGCCCAGCTCCTCACATGCTGGTTTGGCCCTGTTCCTCCAAGTCTCAGTTCAAATGTCCTTTCTCAGACAGAATTAGTAAAGGCCTTCCTTTATTAATTCATCTAGTTTTTCCTGTTATTCTCTTCCTTTATTGGCTTCATGGCACTTACTACAACTTGTAATCCTGTTTGTGAGTTTGCTTAAGGTTTGTCTCCCAACTAGACTGGAAGCTCCAAGGAAACAGAAATCTTAGCTTTCTTAACAAGGACATGGCAGAGGACCTAGCATATTGGAAGCCACCAATGCCAATTTTATTTTTAAGATCAAACAAAGGCATGGTTCTTAACCTCAAGGGGGGTTCACAGTACAATGGAAGAAATTTGTGTACAAATATGTAATTTCCATGGAGTTAAATTGCCGTGGAGAGAAGGCGCTAATGGATCACAAAGCTCACAGTGTCGGATAAAAGAAATGACACCTCATTTTATTGATCCAATAGTCTTTAAGTCCCATAAGGTACTGTGAACCCCCAAAATCTGAGACAGATCTCAGTCAATTTAGGAAGTATATTTTGCCAAAGTTAAGGATGCACGTCAGTGACACAGCCTCAGGAAGTGCTGACGTGTGCCCAGGGTGGTTGGAGCACAGCCTGGTTGCCTTCTGCCATGAATGTAAGCTCCCTGAGGCCTCCCCAGAAGCTGATGCTGCCATGCTTCCCATACAGCCTGCAGAGCCATGAGCCAATTAAACCTCATTTCTTTATAAATTACCCAGTCTCAAGTATTTATTTATAGCAGTTTGAGTAACTAACACAGATGTAGAGTTACTTTAAAATGAGCTTTACTACACAAACCATAACTACTCTCTCACCCACATTTATGTAAGTGCGCAGAAGCATAACACTCTGTTGTCCCACAATTCCCACCCCACTGCAAATATTCAGACCATGTTCCTCCCTTGGCACAAAAAGTCAGCAAATAGTTCCTTCCTTTTCTCCCCCTCTAATCCAACGTGGGACTAGTGCTAATGATTATTATGACAAGTATGTCAACTGATCACAACTTCACAGAATTGTATACTCAAAGAATCATAAGATTACAAAGAGCTGAATGAGATTTGTCTGATTATAAATTTAATAAAGGTAAAAATTATATGCCCAACTTGAGAGGAAATCCTTATTATTTTTTCCCTCGCCTACCAAAGAAAGTTAACAGAGGTAAGCATCCATTTAGGTCCTTCCTTTTTAAATTTGCTTAATAAAAATTTTCAACACAGAGAAGTAGAGAGAGCTGGGCACAGTGACTCACGTCTGTAATCCCAGCACTTTGGGAGGCTGAGGTGGGAGGATCCTTTGAGCCCAGGAGTTCGAGATCAGCCTGGGCAACATGGTTGAGACCCCATCTCTGGAGAAAAAGAAAAAAATTAGCCAGAATGGTGACACACAACTGTGGTTCCAGCTACTCAGCAGACTGAGGTGGAAGGATTGCTTAAGCCAGAGACGTTGTGGTTGCAGTGAGCCATGATTACTCCAGCCTGGGCAACACAGCGAGACCCTGTCTCAAATAAAGAGAAATAGAATAATATCATGAAACCATCACTCCTGTATCCATCACTCATCTTCAACAATCATTAGGACCAATTTTATTTCATCTCTAACCTCCCTTCCTGCCCCCATACATTTAACCCCTACCTTGACACTTTGGGATATATTTTTTAAATTTCAGATATCACAGATATCATGTCATTTCATCTATAAATACCTCATCTGTAATACATATCTCTTAAATTTTTTTTAACATTACTACAATCTAAATTTTTTAAATCTCTTAATGTCATCAAATATCCCTATGTACTTATTTCATTATGTAAACCAAAAATAAAATTCTAAGGCCCCCCAACCATCCAAATGGACCCCTCCTCCCAACCAAGGGCATTTCAAAGTTAACCCGAAAAACTAATTCAGGCCATAATGGAAGAGGGGGTCAAACATGTCTCATTATATCCTCCAGCATTAATATCAAAACAGAGCTTAAGTCTGAAAAGAAACATTTACAATCTACTCTCTCTGAAGCCTGCTACGTGGAGGCTTCAGCCGCATGATAAAACCTTGGTTTCCACAACCCTTTATCATAACTCAGATATTCCTTTCTATCGACAATAACTCTTTCAACCAATTGCCAATTAGAAAATTCTAAAATCTAGGCTGGGCGTGGTGGCTCACACCTGTAATCCCAGCACTTTGGAGGCCCAGGTGGGTGGATCACTTGAGGTCAGGAGTTTGAGACCAGCTTTGCCAACATGGTGAAACCCCATCTCTACTAAAAATACAAACAAACAAAAAAAATTAGCCGGGTGTGGTGGCGCATGCCTGTGATCTTAGCTACTCAGGAGGCTGAGGTGTGAGGATTGCTTGAACTCGGGAGCCAGAGGCTGCAGTAAGCCAAGACTGCACCACTGCACTCCAGCCTAGGCAACAGAGCGAGACTCCATCTCAAAAATAAATAAATAAAATCTACTTCTGACCTGGAAGGCCCCCTACTTTGAGTTGTCTTGCCCTTCCAGGTCAAACCAATGTAAATCTTCACATGCATTGATGGATGTATCGTGTTTCCCTAAATGCATAAAAGCTAGCTGTACCCCGACCACCATGGGCACGTGTCCTCAGGACCTCCCAAGGCTGTGTCATGGGCGTGTCCTTAATTTTGGCAAAATAAACTTTGTAAATCAACTGATAACCTGTCTCAGATACTTTTGGGTTCACATCTAATTGTCTCATGTTGTGTGTGTTTTATAGTTGGCTTGTTCAAATCAGGATCCAAACAAGGTCTACACTTACATTTGGTTGATAAGCCTCTTAAATCTGTTTTAATTTATGGCTTTTGCTTCCATTTGCCATGGCTCCCCACCCACCACACCCTGTACCAGGATTACATTTTGAGATAATCTTTCCAAGCCTTGTGAACACACAGTTTTCCAGTTTCAACTGACTCATCTCTCCTGCTAAACAGATAAAAACCTAATAGACAACCTTCTTTTTATTTAAATTTTTTTTTTTTTTTTTTTGCTGAGAAAGTGTCTCACCATGTTGGTCAGGCTAGTCTTGAACTCATGGCCTCAAGCAATCCTCTCTCCTCAGCCTCCCAAAGCACTGGGATTATAGGCGTGAGCCAACATGCCTGGCCTAGACTCCCTTCTTTAAGATATAACTTTAAGAGGTATGCTTGGATTTAGGTCCATGTTAAAGTATTAACATCTATCAATGAAAGATAGTCTGATTATACCTTATACTGGAGGAGATAAGAGTCAATTTCAC